GGTTGGTGTAGCTCCTGTGACAGACAAAATTAGAGAAAGTCGTCTTAGATGGTTTGGTCATATTAAATGTCGACTATTAGATGATCCGATTAGGAGAGTAGATGTTTTAAATTCGACTTGTGTTAAGAAAGACAGAGGTAGACCTAGGAAGACTTTGGCTTATTGTATTAAAAACGATCTTAATTTACTGGAACTAAATAGGACGCAATGGAGAAAAAGGATTCATGTAGCCGACCCCATGTAGTGGGATTAAGGCTTTGTTGTTGTTGTTGTTGTAAACATAAAACTTTGTGATGAATCGAATGTTAAATGAAGTATGTTACCATAATTGAATGTTTTGATTTTTAAATGCTGTAAGTTAGAAATATACATAATTCATCTTACTATAAAAAGCACAGGTATTGTTTAACTCTTAACAATTTAAAATTGTGTAAAATTTTCTAAAATTGCTAATTAGAAACATAGCATCCATCTTAATACTAAATCATATTTTTTTTTCTTTTTGCAAGCGACAATTTTAATTTTAAAATGTACTTCATCTCAAATAAATTTCTAAATTGAAAGCAAGCAAACATCGATGAAGAGCCCAATTGCATAATTCATGTAAGATTTGAAGTCTACATCTCATGTTTAATACCAAAATCAAACATTAAGGAAACACTTTCTAAGGGAAGAAAATGCAATATAAACAAGCTATTACGTTGGTGCCTAGCCTAAGAGAATTTATCTGATGGTAGCCTAAGAATAATTTAATCTTTTATTATTATTATTGTTGGGTATAAATAGACTTGCTATGTCTAGGGAGGGTTAGGCTAGGGTTAGGTTTATGCATGAGATTGAGTTGTGAGTTTTAGGTTTAGGGTTTGGGAGAGATTTCTTACCTCTTGAATTTTAGGAATTGGGTGAGATCACCTACCTTTCAAATTGTAGGTGCTTATCTTTTGTATGTTTGCTGCTTTGTTTGGAGTATTGAAGAAAATAATATTTTGCCCTAATTTATGTGGAAAAGTGTGTCGATTTTGAGGTCGGATCGTATCAAATTGGTAGCATAGCTCTAGATTTTGGAAAATGGATCACATAAGAGAGGATCGATCGAGATGGAAGTTGAAACAAACAGAGATCTCCGAAGGGATCAATCGAGATAGGAAACAAGAGGTCTATCGACTCGACATAGATTCAAAACTTACTCTGGACTTCTTACGTGCCCTCCTATGTGAATCTACTACAGAAGGACGATACACACATGACCAAGCTAGCTGCGCACGTCTGTCTTGCCTTCCTTTGTTGCACACATCAACAACATGATCGCGTATCTTCTCGCCTTTCTTTGTTGAGCACAACAACGACGGGATCGCATGCCGTCTCGCCTTCCTCTGTTGCGCGCAGCACTGACGGGATTGCACGCTGTGTCACCTTCCTCTGTCGCACGTAGCAATGACAGGATCACACACAGTCTCGCTTTTTTTTATTGCGTGCAGCAATGACAAGATTCAGTGTCATGTTCGTGATTGAACCCTGCAATACAATCACGATCAGAGCTTGGAATGACATGATTCAGGGACACTAACTTGTGGTACAATTGAGATAAGAGCTAGATGAAAAGTGACAACAGGTTTGAGAATTTTTTTGGAAGACATGTCATCCAATAAAGGAGATGATTTGGAAAAAAAAATAGAGGAAAAGATCAGCCGAATCATACCTGGAATGGATGAAAGGTTCGCCACCGTAGATGATAGGTTTTGTTCAATGAAAACCGAATGGAGGTCCGATTCAGGAGCATGGGAAAAATTCGAGAAATGATAAGGAGGCTCATTAAAATGCAATTCAAGACTACGCCGACGGCTCAATTTACAAAACTATAGGGCAAGAGATCGAACACAAGGAATATGAGGAGGAATACATTCACCACCACGAATCCCCTCTTACGTCTCTGATTGGGGGTGAATTGAAGATTTCTTATTGAGACGGTTAGGCCGAAATATGGAGAAGAGATTATGCAAGAGGTATGAAAGAACACGAATAAGAAATGAGAGAAACAGGGAGGGGATATAACCATGATCGAAGGAGGAAGTTTTACCCTCTATACATGGGGGGAAACAACGGAGGAAGTGAAAGTTGGGGTGGGGTTGTTAGAGGTTTGGATGTTGAAGTTTTCAACCTTCGAGGGGAAGACACACATGGGTGGGTGTATCGGGCAGAGTGATACTTCGCGGTGAATGGGCTAGATGGGTAGGAGAAACTCATGACTTCAGGATTATGTTTGGAAGGAAAAACTCTTTCTTGGCTTCAGTGGAGGGAAACTAGATACCTGACTCATTCGTGGGAGGATTTCAAGGATTGTTTGTTGGAACATTTCCGAGTAATTGGGAAGCAGATCTACACGAGCAATTATGTCCATCGACTCGGGATGTGACCGCCATAGAATACAGGGAGAGATTTGAGTTATTTACGGGACGACT